TAAACATTTCCTTCAGAAACTAAACACAGCCCAAAAAAGGTAGGAGAACATTCCATCATGCATGTGGAATTAGAAAAAAAAATTCTCTTGTTTTTACTCACATGCTTTTACTCACAGTTAGGATACACTAGGGAGGAAAAAAAACTGCACTGACGTTCCATACATAGCCCACCACACCCAGACCAAGGGAAGTGGTCTGCCCTGTATTCATGGCAATGGTAACAAACCTCATAGAGTCATACAGCACAGAGACAGACCCTTCGGTCCAACCAGTCCATGCCAACATAATCCCAAACTAAACTAGTCCCACTTGCCTTCTCCTGACCCATATCCCTCCAAACCTTTCCAATTCATGTATTCTATTCCTATTCCTATTCTATTCATGTACTTATCTAAATGTCTTTTAAATGTTGTAATTGTACCCACATCCACCACTTCCTCAGGAAGTTCATTCCACACGCAAGCCTCTGTGTAAAAAATATGCCCCTTATGTCTTTTTTAATTCTCCCTCCTCTCACCTTAAAAGTGTGCCCCTAGTCTTGAAATCCCCCATCCTAGGGAAAAGACAAATACCATTAACTCTATCTATACTCCTCATTATTTTGTAAACTTCTATAAGGTTGCCTCTCAACCTCCTATGGTCCAGAGAGAAAAGTCACAGACATCAACCTGCCTAGAAACAGCATGGCGTCAGAAGATTTAGGTTTGAGTCCCATTGCAGAGTCTTTGATTTATTATTGTCACATATACCTAGGTACAATGAAAAGTTTTGTTTTGCATGCAGGACAGGCAGATCATACCATACAAATTGTATTAAGGTAACAGAAGAGTGAAGAATACAATGTTATGCCGACAGAAAGTGTACAAGGAGCAAGATCAACATTAAATGTAAAATTTCAGAAGTCCATTCAAGAGTCTAATAACAGCAGGGAATAAACTATTCTTGTATCTGTTGGTACGTGTGTTTAAGCTAAGATTTGAGCAGACTATCTGGACTAACAATTCAGTAAGCCACTGATGGAGTTTTACACTATCCAAAATGCCACCTCTCTCAGTGTGTCATTAAACAGAGATCCTGTCTGCTCAGGGAAAAGACACTATGGCATTATTCAAAGAGGAATCCTCCCTGGTGTCCTGGGCAAAACTTACACAGCAACCAACATTATGAAAACAAATGATCTGACAGTGCTCATGACGGGGGCTTGCTGTCTGTGCAGTTTTGGTTGTCATGTTTCCTGTATTACATCAGTAACTACACTTTAGAAGTAGTTAAGTAGTTGTAAATCAATTTGGGGCATCCTGAGGTTGTGAATGGCGCTATATAAATGCAAGTCTTTTCTCCTTACACTCGTATACCTAACTGTAGCCCTGGATGGAGGACAGTGCTTAGTTTGAAAAGTGTGAAAATGGAATGAGCCAGAAAGCAGCAGTTAAGCGCAGTAATGCTGAGTTTGAACCTGAAGTCTTGGAGAGGAAGTAAATTGTGTGAGGTAAATCTTGATTGCAAAACTGCAGGGTGGAACAAGACTACTTTCAATAGGATAGTCAGAACATAAGAGAAAAATTGAAATGAGTTGGACGGGAATAAAATATCACCTGATGTTTCAGGGGTATCAGAATTAAATCAATTACTACATAAATGGGAGACAACTAGTGAGAGAGAACTCCGTAACTGAGAAAGAACCTTGTAACTGTGAGAGAATTCCATATCTAAGAGAGAACTCTACAACTGAGAAAGAACTCTATAACTGAGAGAGAACTCTGTAACTGAGAGAACACCATATCTGTGAGAGAACTCTGTAACTGAGAGAGAGCTCCATAACTGAGAGAGAACTCTGTATCTGAGAAAGAACTCGTTAAGGAAAGGGTAAATGCAACATGGAATGCACAAGACTGGACAGTTTCACCAAGCCAGTGTCGCCACGAGTTAGATAGAAACCTCTTGATCTAGGTTAGGTATGGGGAACACTTCAGAAATGACCATGTGTTAATTTTAAGGATTGGGAGTGTTAACAACAACCTCACAAATGAGACAGGGGCTTCCCACTGTTCAAAATGATATTTGCATTTCTCTATCTTTATCCACTTCCAGACACAATTGACAGAAAAGACTCGTGGATTACGCTTAAACTTTTGGCAGTTCAAAAAGAAGTCCTGTGATAGCACCCCCCCCCCCCAACACCCACCCCCCCCCCAACACACACACACATTGCTTAAATGCTCACACCGCTTCCATCCTCCACTAATAACCACAGCCCTTGTCCCAGTCTCCCAGTGGTTAAGGCACAAAGTCGCTGAGCCACACTGACCAGAAGGTGTCAGGGCAGATTGCGGGAGTGTGAGGAATTAAAGTTGCTCTCTGTTACTGTAAGAGATGCCACCCTGCATAGAGGGAGAAGGAGATCTCTCGGTGGTTTCAGCTCCAGTGTCTGTTACCTTTACTGGAAAGGGCATTGGAAGCTGTGGGTTTCAGCAATGCATCCTTTGTCCACATTGTTTGCAAGCCCTCCGTTTCAACCATCCCCTTTTCCTCCTTAAGATCTACGTACACAGGTTCCACCACCATCCGATGCACTGTATACACTGACAGACCATGTGGCAACAGGTTTCCTTTCCCCTCGATATTTCACGGGCAGATTTTCTGTTTCTTTGCACTGAATTGAATTCAAATTTTCACGGCGCGCTTTGAACTCGCGCTGGGGCGATTCTGAGCCTTACAAACCAAAACAAAACACTCACGCTGGCTTCTGCTAACAAACAACTCAGACCGAGTGAGTTCTCAGCTGTGACTGGCAGAGGGCCTGTATCGCTGTTCCCCCTTTCCTCGGGGCAGCTCAGACACGGAGTGGAGAAGGGTGGGGGGTTAGAAGTGACGGGTCAGCCCTTGCTCAAAGCGTGGAGGATCTCGCTTGTCTGGGCGCGCCGGTAAGGAGTCACACATCCGCACAGGAGCGAGTTCAGATCGGTTTGGAGATTGCAAACTGGCCCCCAAGTTTTCCGAACGCAGAGAAGGAGCGAGGAGGCAGGCCAAAGCTTTCCCTTAACATTCCCTAAGACAGCAAACCGGGCTCCGGTTGAACCCGGATCAGAGGCATACTGTCCCGGATAAACCTGGACCAGGGATACTCACTGTCCCGGTCAAACCCGGATCCGGGGGATACACGCTGTCTCGGTTAAACCCGGATCAGGGGGATACTCACTGTGTCGGTTAAACCCGGATCAGGGGGATACTCACTGTCCCGGTTAAACCCGGAT